GGCACCTGCAGCTCGCCATCCGCAACGACGAGGAGCTCAACAAGCTGCTGGGCGGCGTGACCATCGCGCAGGGCGGCGTCCTGCCCAACATCCAGGCCGTGCTGCTGCCCAAGAAGACGCAGAGCTCCAAGAAGTGAGCGCTGCCCCCTCAGCCCCTCCACCCCCGGCCCCCTTCTCGCCACTGCCCCACCTCCCCTCCTCATGGGGTTGGGGTCCCCCTTCCTGTCCCCCAGCCCGGGCTGGGTGCTGAGCCCTGGCAACACCCTGCCAGACCCCCGCTAGCCCCCAGCCCGGGCTGCGACAGGGCGCTGGGGGAGGCCAGGCCCTGCTTGTGCCCCCATCCTGCCCCTCTTCCCTCTGGAAGTCTGGAGGAGGCAGCTAGATCGCATCTTTCAGCAGCAGCAGCACCCGAAGCTGTATGGTTGGGGCACGGTGCGGAGCTGCTGTGGGTGGTTGGGCTGGCATTGGGGTGGCCACGGGCACCCCCGGATGTTTCTCCTCTCCGCCAGCACCCCGGGACTGTGCAGACTCCCCCGCAGCTTCCCCTACTCACCCCAGTGTGAGGCTGGGACTCGATGCTGCAGTTTCCCCCCCCCTCCAGCCATTCTCCCGCCCCCGGCCTCACTGCAGCGGGGAGGGCAGGGGCTGGGGATGTGAAAAGGAGGAAAAGTTTCTCCTCTGGCAAGAAGTGACTGCTCAGTCCTGCTCCTGGTGAAGCTCTTGATCGCCCGCTGTCAAGAAGCTCTGTTCCTATTTATTTTACTTTCCCTTATTTCGGGTCCCTCCCTGCAAAGTCACCTTCCCCAGCACCCCCAGGTGGGAGCTGCAGGGTCCCTTGCGCCGTGGGTCCTGCTGGGGTGGGGTGGGGTGGAGGCTGCGGTGACAAATCCCCTCGGAGAGCGTCGCAAGGTCAGGCGGGAGCGGGAGCTGCCATCTTCTGCTGTGGCTGCATCCCTGCCTCCCTCCGGCTGCAGCAGCCCTTCGCCTTGCCCGGAGCTCCCCGAGCCCTGGCTCCACTCCCGGAGATGACATTCCCGTGTCTTTCCTTTCCGTTGTTTGTTTGTTCCGCATTATTCCTGGTTCTGGGAAATAAAGCAACGATGATCTCCGTTAACTGTAACCCTCCATGGATTAATGGGTTTTAAGCCCCCTGGAGTCTGTATTGAGCCCGTTCCCGGCTGGTGCCGTGTCCGTTTCCTGGCTGTGTGGGCTCAGGGTGAGCGCGGGGCCGGTTTCCTGCCTGTGGCACCCAGGATGGCTGGTGCAGAGGCAGCTTGCCCTGTTTGCATGGGGGCCGATCCCCGTGTGCATGCATCAGTGTCGGGCGATTGGACCCTCACAATGTGGTTTTTAAGTAAACAGCAAGAATGAGCATCCTCCTTATGTGCTGTAAGTAGCATGTGTTCAACCTCTGAATCCGCTGTTATATCCTGTGATGAAGTAACTTGCCTTGGCTCCAAGTTTGTTGTTATTATTGTAGAGTAGCTGAACCCGGTGCTTGTCAGTGGGTTTATGAAGGGGTTTTCACTCCCACGTGGAATATGTCATGCTGATGCGGGTGCAGACATGTCCCCTGGGATGCTCTGACTGTGGAGGGGTAGGGGGTGGCCAGCACAGACCCCAGGATCCCTCCTCTTCCTCCTGGAAGTGACTGCTGCTGTGGTGAAATGGGGCGAGGGGTTTCCCAGCGCAGAGGTCGATGTGTCTGTATCCCAGTGTCTTGTTCTGTCCCTCTCGTTCCCCCCAGGCCCATGTTCCGTACAACCTGAGTGCTTTGTACCTCTTACAGCAAATGCAGACTTGTGATACTGGAAAGAATGGTGCAAACCCTGTATCTGATTAAACTGGTTCCCTCTTGAACGCTGTCCAATGTGCTGTATCTTGTCCCTGCTACATGCCTGGGCTGCAGGAGCTCTGGTGCAGCTTCCTCAAGGACTGCTGGTAACACCAGATGTGGCCTGGCAGAGTTCCTGCTTGCCCTTCCCTCAGACAAGCAGTCTCTTCCTGCCCCGGGAGCAGGTTAAACCCTTACCTGGCTCTTTGCTATGGGAACGTCGCATTGCCTGGTTGCTCTGTGACCAGCACCAGGAAGCCTGAACTGCCCCTGAGGAGGGAGGCTGGAGCCACGAGCTTCCTCCCACCTGATGGGTTCACTGGCACCCTGTGGGTGACCTGCAGGCAAGTAAGCAGAGATAGGAAAAGCTGGTCCTGAAGGGGTGGGGAGAGGTCTGCAGATAAGGGGCTGCGTCTCACTCCCTTTGCTGGGTATCTCCTGGTTTGCTGGTCTGGGGATGGGTCTGCGAGGCAGAGCTGCTCCCTGCTTGGGTCGTGGGGAGAAAGTGTTGTGTGAGTCTCAGACAGCTTCTAGCATGGTCAGTTGGGTGCTGGTGAGGGCTGTGTGGGGCTATGGAAGGTGTGGGTCAGGACTGGAGCTGCTGGGCTGGTCTCTGACACCTGCCCTGTCCCAGTGCTGTCCACTGCAAAAGGCAGAAACAGGCTTTAAATTGGGGTGCCCTGGGGCAGTGATGGGGATGTGTTGGGGTGCTGCACTGCACCCCCAGGGCTCAGGAGCTCTGTAGCCGCCCCAGGTGTGGTGTGGCTCTGCCCATGCTGGTGGGGTGATGCCCACAGCTGTGACTGGGAGCTGGTGGCACTTGTGGTGCTCTCAGTGCTGAGCCGCCTCCGCCAGCCACGTGATGAACCCGCTGGGCTGTCACAAGGGAGCCCGAAGGAAATCCTGTCTGTTGCCAAGCACTGCTGAGGTGCTTGACCCGCATTACCTCCTGAACTCCACATCTGAGCATCCTCATCACCGGCAGAGGAGAAGTCATAGTCTTGGTAGGAAGCTGGAGTGGACTTTGTCACCTTCGAGCCTGCATCTCCGCAGAAAGGTTCTGTGGAGCAGCGTTTCTGGTTCTGGTTCCTCTGAATGCCTCACAGCACCAGAGCAGTTGAGTTGGTGGAATGTGAAGGACTTGGCTGAGTAGAGGCTTCCCAGTGGTCCTGGGACCCTGAAGGGTGTCTGTGGGTCTTTGCTTTTACGGGAGCGTGTGCTCTTCCCCTGCCGCCTCATGGGCACCAGAAGGTAAGATCACAGCGCTGGCAGCGGAGCTGTCTCTGTGCACGTGCAGCAGCCTCCACATGGCTGTGGTACTGGCTGTGTCTGGGGATGAGACTGGAGTCACTGGTCCCAGGAGGTTTGTCTCCAGAGCCTGATCCTTGTGGCTGTCAGCACCTGTGGGAGCTGCTGAGGATGCTTCAGCAGCACAGCCCCTGGCAGTCTTCTCTGAGGTAAAATGCTGACCCCGAAGTGTTGCCCACTGCCTCCTGCTGCCCTCAGCTGCCCAATGTTTGCCTACAAGAATGCCTCTGGTCCTTTGCAGTGGTGCTGACCTTGGCAGTGTGGTTCCTTACCAGTGGAGCAATGTGCCTTGCAGGTGCCCTTGGTCTGACTCCCCAGTCTTGGGGAGGGGACACCCCTCTGCCTGCAGCCTCGGGAACTACAGGCTGGAGTGAAGCACTGGAGCGGGACCAGCGGGACCCTGCAGGAGCAACTCCTCAGCCCTCTGAAACATGCAGTGTCTGTTGACCAAGGAGGCAACCCCAGGTGTGTGAGGGATTGTGGCAGCTCTCCTGGTACTGGGGATTGTGAGCAGAGGCTCAAGCTTGGGGTGGGCAGCCCCGGAGGGAGGCTGCAGCCTCCCAGCTGCAGAACCTCGCTGGGCTCTGAGGAGCTCTCCTAGATTCCCTTGCCTTGAATGTATTGATGGATCTTTCTTCAGGGAGTCAAACTCGCTTCCCCTCTCCCTGCTGGTGTTCTGAGGGGCAAAGGAATAAAGCAGCTGCATAGGGTCTGGGGCCATGGCCGTTGCCACTCTGTCCCCTGCTCAGGGGATCCTGTGCCTGGGGTTGATCCGTGCTGTGCTCCAGACACTGGGTGCAGCAGCTCAGGGGGGCTGGCAGCAGCTCGAGGGAGAGATGCTCCTGCTTCATGCTCCCCTTTGTTACTGATGGGGGTGGCAGAGCGTGGTGTGAGGCTGCTCCTGACATCTTCCCTTGCAGCCAGGCTGGCCTGACCCCAGCCCCCTGCGAGGTGCGGTGCTGCTGCAGCACCTCTGCCTGCTCCCTGCCCTGCTGCAGAGCACACAGGTCAGGCTTTCCCCGCTGCAGGCCGAGGGTCGCCGTGGTGGGTGCGGGGCTGCAGGCAGACAGCACAGGCTGGCCCAGATCCCCGGCAGGGCTTTATGCAACCTCGGCAGCGGGAGCTATAAATAGGCACGGGGCTGGGTGTGCGGTGGGGCTCTGCCTTCCCGCGCTGCCGCTCGCACCGCACAGCGCACTCCCGCTCCGGGCAGGGCAGTGCGGGGGGGTCTCCTCCATGTCCGGGGAGCTGCAGCCTCTGGGGTTCCCGTTGCCGAAGGCAGCACAGGAGAGCGGCGTTTTGTACCAATTTATTCGAAACGACGATAAATGAAAAAAAAAAAAAAAAACAAAACCCAAAAAGTCACCCCAAGCCCCCCTCCCCCACACGTAAAAATAACGGAAATCAACCCAAAACCGGCTACAAACAGAATTAAAGGCCATTGGCGATGCGCCCTGAGCCCGCGCCCCGCGGACGGCCCCTTTAAGAGCACCCGACGCTGCGGCAACCAATTGGCGACCAACGGGCCGTTACCATGGCAGCGGGGGCCGAGAGCCAATAGGGGGCGCCGTGGCTGCTGGAGGCGGCGGGGCGCGGCGCGGGCCCTGGCGGCGGGAGCCGGCCCACGTGGCGCGGGGCGCCGCCGCGCAATGGTTGCCATAGAAACCGGGCGGGAAAAATCCCCGGGAAGCACCGGGGAGGAACGGGAGAGGACGCGGGGGGGCGGGGGAACGGGAACCGTTTACAAGCGGAGAGGGGCAGGGGCGACAACAAAAGGGCGCGATCGGGGAGAAGCCGCGGGATGGGGGGAGCGGGGGGTGGAGGAAATAAGGCGGCTGGAAGGGGGGGCTGGGACAACCGCAGCCCCGCTCACCGCGTACAGCAGCGGCTGCGGAGCCGAGTCAGCAACACAAAGACAAAGCGGGTCCCTGGGGTCCGTCCGCGGAGCAGTCCGTGCCGCGGGGCTCACAGTCCGGGGGCGGCGGGGGGCTCCCTGCGCCCCGCTCTCATGCCTTCCTGCTCTTGAGTGCCTTGGGCTTTGCCGACTTCTTCACCTTCTTGCCCCCGGGGACGCGGCTCCCTTCTTGGTGGCCTTCTTGGCTTTGCCCTTGTCTTTCTTCCGTCGCCGCGCCGCCCGCTCCCTTCTTATGGGATTTCTTCTCGGGCTTCTTGCTCTTGGCCGCCGGCTTCTTCTCCGCCCGCCGGGACGTGGAGGCCGCCGCCGCCTTCTTGTGGGACTTGTGGGCGCTGCTGCCCGCGCCCCCCTCGCCACCTCCTTCCAGCTTTTTCCTATTGAGCTTGAAAGAACCGTTGGCGCCGGTGCCCTTGACCTGGAGCAGTGTGTCGTTCTGCACCAGCGCCTTGATGGAGTACTTCAGGTAGGTCCTGCCGTTCTGCTGGTCGAACCAGGCCACCTTCTTGGCTTCATTGTAGATCTTGGCCAGCGAGGAGCCATTGCGTTCGCCCAGCTTGCGATGGTTTCCACCACCAGCTGGCTGTATTTGCCCGGCTGGTTCTTCTTCTTGTTGTTCTTTTTCTTCTTCGACGGCGACAACGACGAGCCGCCGCCGCCGCCTTTCGCCTTCTTTGCGGCCGCTTTCTTCTCCGGGGCAAGCGGCACCTCCTCCGCCTCGGTCAGGGGGAGATCGGCTTCTTCCAGCTCCACCGACATGGTGCCGTGGGGTGGGCGGGACGGAGGCTGGCGGGGGCACCGCGGCGTGGCGGAGGCCCGGCGGGCGCGCGCGCTGCTCTCCGACTCCGCTCGGCTCCGCGCCGCCGCCGCCGCGCTCTGGAAGGGGCGGGCGCCGCCGCCGCCCTTTATATGGGCGCGGGGCGGACCACGTTGAGAACAACAACAGCCTGGTCCAGCGCCAGCTCCAACTTGTGCTTCTTGGGGCCCTTTCGCGGGGCTCCCGCGCCGCCGCCGGCCCCCCCGCGCCGCTCCCGCCGCGCCTCCCGCCGCGCCCCGCTGCCCCCCGCACAGCCGCCGCCACGGCCCCCCCCGGCGCGCGCCGCACGACGCCCCCCGCCGCGATTTCGGAGGCGCGCCCGGCGCGGCGGAGGCAATGAAGGAGGGGGCGCCCGGCGCGGCGGCGGCTGCAGCCCTGCCGCGACCCCCCCCCGCGCCGCCGCCGCCGCCTCCCACAGCCCAAGAGGGCCCGCCGCGGGGGGGGGCAGGCAGCGGGCGGCCGGGGGCGGCGGCGGCCGCGCTGGCCCCGCGTTCTCCGGAGGGAACTAACACAGGCGACGCCCTCCCGCGGCCGCCGGCAGCAGCGCGGAGGCGCCGAGCCGAGGCCGGGGGTCCCCGCCCCAGCGGCGGGGGCCGTCCCCCTATCGACCCCACACCCGCGGCAGCCCAGACCGGGACCCCGAGGGGGGAGCCCTGCGTGTCCAGTGGTTCCCCCCCCCCCCCCCCGCCCTGGGGCGGGCATCGCCCCGCAGCGGAGGATGCGGGAAGCGCGGCTGGTTGGGGGGGGGGTCTGGGGACCCCGGCTCGGTGCAGTGCGGGGGGGGGGTCGGCTCCTACCCCCGCTGCACTCCGTAGCCCTGCATGGGCTGAAGGGGGGGGGGGGGGGCAGCAGCGGTGCTGTGACAAGGCTTCCCGGGGGGGGGGGGGGGGGGGGGGGGTGGTGTGCACAAGGTCCCCACCTCGCAGAGCCCCGGGCCTGGGCTCCCTCTGACCCTGTAAGTGTGGGGGGGATCCGTGTGCCCCCTCCGGGGGTGTCCAGGCACGCATGCACACACATGCACGCGCACACATATGCACATGCACGCGCACACACAGACACATGCATGCGCATACACATGCACACGCGCACACATGCACACGCACACACATGCACATGCATGCACATGCACACACATGCACGCGCACACACACATGCACGCGCACACACAGACACATGCACGCGCGCACACATGCACGCGCGCACACACACACATGCACGCGCACACACATGCACAGGCACACACATGCACGCGCACACACATGCACTCACACGCAGGCTCCGCACACTCTCGCACCCGCCCCCTGCTCACGCCCGCCGCCTCCCCCCTCCCCATCCCCACGCTCCTTTCCGCCATTTCCTTCTCCCGGGCCCCCCGCACCGGCGGGGACGGGCCCCCGCTGCCACCGGGGTGGTCCTTAGGGCCACCCGCTGGATTCTCCCTTTGCCCAGACCGGGTCCTGCCCGGCCGTGTCCCACATCTCCTCCCCGCAGCGGGGTGCCCTCAATCACCACCGCTACACCCCCGACGAGAGACCACCCCATAGCAGCGGGGTGTCCCCCATCAGCGGTGTCCGGACATCCTGTGATGAGTTGTGTCTGGCCTCGGGAGCTGCGAGGTGCTGCGGTGGAGGCACGGATTCCGCCCCCCCCCCCCCCAGGAACCCCATAGCGTGTGTGTGTGTTAAGCTGTGTAATGTATAGATCCGTGTGTGTGTGTTAAGCTGTGTAATGTATAGATCCGTGTGTGTGCGTGTGTGGAACATGCGTGTCTCTGTGTGCAGATTTCGTGCTGTAACCAAATGGAAGCTTGCTGCTGGGCTGCCTGTTCATCATGGCTGTATGGGGGGGGGGTCGTGTCTGTTATAGATCTGGAATATGTCATATATATAATAGTTATTAGTTACTGTAATAGCTGTGAATGTAAGAGAGGTGCAAGTGAATGCACCCACACAAACACCAGGCTGTATATATGTTGTATATTGATGTTAATTGTACATTAACATATATTGATGTATATTGATATTAATATTGTATGTTGTATGCTGTATATTGACATAAACATGTCAGTATCGCAATCAAAGCTCTCCAGTGGGGGGATGTCAAGGCTGGGCAGTGATGGTCTGTGATGGCCCCTTGTGTGTTGGTAGCATGTAGTGACTGGGGGTGGACCCACATATCCCCCCCCCCCCAGTGCACACGTGTGTAGGTACAAGAAGATGTGTTTGAGTACGAGCCTTCAGGAGGCCGTGTATGTATGTGTGTGTGTATGTACATGTGTGTGTGTGTATGTACGTGTGTGTATGTACGTGTGTGTGTATGTACATGTGTGTATGTACATGTGTGTATCTGTGCTTCTCAGATAGATACGCAGAGAAGGGGGGGGAGAACAGCCCCAACACGTGTGCTCTCCCTGCATGTACACACGTGCTTATAGAGACACATTGAGTGAGTCCTGGTCACATACATGTGTCTCTCTGTCATATATATATATATATACACATACATATACGCCAGCTGGTCACGCATACATACATGCTTCTCTCACATGTTCTATACATACACACACCAGGGAACCTATTCTCACACACTCTCGCTATATATACACATCTATGTATGCATGTGCACTTATGGACACATTTCACGCCATATTTTTATATATATGTATATATATTTATATATACACGTATAGATCCCCATATGTATATAGGTGCCTATATACCTATTTCCAGAGAGTGTGTGAGAGAAGGAGGGGGCAGAGAGCACATGCTGTTCAAACATACACACACATACATGTATGGATGCACAATGCACACACATAGACTGACATGGAGTGAGAGGCCTGCTCTCATACTGCTCTCTCTCAACCCCTCTTTGTGTGCACAGCTGTATATATGTACATACACACACAATGGGAGAGCGAGCTAATTCACACACAGACCCCCCAATGTATAGCACTGCAGATACACATCCATACTTGTCAATGCACATACACAGTACTCTCTGTATACATCTCTATAGGCATAGAGCCATACACTGTTCACATGCATTACTCTCCCCTGCCACACATAGGCCTGAGAGATCCACACACAGGCCTGAGGGTAGGAGCCAGAGCAGTGCCCACGCACGTTTTCTATCATTCTCCCTCTCCCCACCCCATACACATGTGCAGCCTCTGGGTTCCATAACCACATACATACATATGTGTGTATAGTCTCTCTCACTGCGGGTATATGTAGAGAGCTTTTCTCACACACACACGTGCACACTTACATAGACACTGAGAGACCTTTCACCCATACTTCTCTCTACATGCATCTATACATATGTAATTAGAGCTGCTTACACAAACACACAGTTCTCTCTCCATATGTATGCATATATAGATATATACACACACTTCTAGACACGCACACACATGTGTGTATACATGGGGGGAGAGCTGTTCATATGAATTCTCTTGCAGTCTGTATATATATACACATACATACACATGTGTGTACACACAGAGCTGCTCTCTCTCACACCCCCCATATGCATATATGCATATATACATATAAACACACACATATATACTGTACACATGTGTATATATACAGGAGCAAACACAACAGTCATTGCATGTTTATACGTACAGGCGTACTTAGGAAGAGAGCTGTTCATACATTATTGTTATATATAAATATACATATAACACATATACATGCATATATATGCACACGTATACCCATCCATGTGCACACACACACATAGACTGAGATGAGCTCTTAGGCAGAAGCTCTTCCCTGTGAGGGTGCTGAGGCGCTGGCACAGGGTGCCCAGAGAAGCTGTGGCTGCCCCATCCCTGGCAGTGTTCAAGGCCAGGTTGGACACAGGGGCTTGGAGCAAGCTGCTCCAGTGGAAGGGGTCCCTGCCCGTGGCAGGGGTTGGAGCTGGAGGAGCTTTAAGGTCCCTTCAGCACAAAGCAGGCCGTGGTTCTGTGCTGTACATTGGCATGCATACTTAAGAGACGCACACACACAATTGTTCACACACACATAATTCTCTCACTGTGTAAAACTACGCATTTATACACATATAATGAAAGACAAACCTCTCACACACATGCATCTCTTTGCGCGAGCGCATATATCCACATATACAGAGTGGGAGTGAGAGGTGCACAGAGTTCTTTGTCGCTGTACACGCACAAGGGTAAATACTGACAGAAAGGGTGGAGAGAGCTGGTCAAACACAGACATCAGTCACAGTGAGCACACATGTGCATATACACATGCATACAGTGGGGAGAGCTCTGCTTTGACAGACCTGCCTGCCTTCTGTTGCTTTATGTGTCTCTGTGCACATATATGTGTGTAGATATGTATGTGTGTATGTATATACATACACACACACCAGAGAACACACACTTTTCACACAGAGGCACCCTTTACAGCCTCCATGGAAAACTGCATATCCACAGCTCACAGCGAGCTGCTCACACACAGAGAGATGGACCGTGTCCTTTGGCTCTGCACACGTACATACAGAGCTGTTCACACACGTTCCATCTCTTGCTATAGCTATATACTGGCACATACGCAGATATACGTAACAAAATGAGCAAGAGCAATTCACACACACGCGTTTTCCATCACTTTCTCCGTCCTACCACGTCTAATCCCTGGGGTGCATAAAAATGCATGCATATATCACAGTCTATTCTCTCTGTATGTGTGTACGTAAGTAGAGATAGCAAGAGCCCTTCTCACACACATACTCCTCTCTTGATATATATATATATATGAATATATAGAGGCATATATACATATATAGACATAGATTGGTCACACACATACTTCTCATATATCCATATCCATACACATACATATATACCTACACATACACATCTCATATAGACACATGCACATAGATACAGGCACATATACAAAGACACTTATGCATATAGATGCATAGCCACCTATACATATATAGGTATGCAATTCAAAAGAGCACGTACTGTTTGCACAAACCCACCCTATTCTCTCCCTCTGCACACCTCATTATGTCTGTATGCAGAGTGAGCTGTTTC